TCACCTGCATACACAGTTTCTTGGTAAATCGATGTCTCCTTGGCCTGGTTCCTTCTTATCTGTGTGTTTATGTGTAAAAACCACATCCAGTCTAGCCTACGCTCTCCCAACAATATACAAATGTTTGTCCCCTGAGTCAGAACACAATTAAAAAACAACAACATTTAAATATGGCTGTGTTTCTGGAATAATCCACAGAATGAACTGAAATGGTCAGAAATAGTTACAATGTGGGACTTTAGTTGTATTTATATGAGCGAGAGAAAAGCTCCTCTGGTTAGTGTGACTGCTTATAATGTCATTGTTGCATATTATTCCTGTGTCTGTGTGGAATATTGCATTTGTTATATTGTTATGTATCGTATTTATGTGCTGCCCTCTTGGAAACTTTGATCTGGATAAATAAAGGACAACAATAAAAATAACAGAAGATTCTATGCACTGTTACCAAGTACTTGTATTTTGTTACTTTCGACCTCTGTTACGACACAGTTCAATTTCAATTCACAGCAAGTACAGCTGTCTCGAGGCATTTACATACAGACGCACACAAAGTCACTCTAATTTGGAACCTGGGAAAAACATCCATATTATCTGCAGTATCAGTACCAGGACCAGGTATTGCAGAGTATTTGTGTTTTTTTTCCTAGTGAAGCCCACGATGTGTCTTCTCATACATCAGTGAGACATCAGAGACATGAGACATGTAGCAGTGAAATGTGTTTGGATGGTTTCGTATACAACATGTTCATAATCATACTGTACATATTTCACATGCTCTGTTCAGCTAAGTATTACTTGTGTGGCTCGTGAGGGTGGTAGGCTGTGAATGTTGGATGGCAGTCTCTACACTGAAAAGAATCACATTACTTCTTAATGAGGTCATTTTAAAGCTGGAGCCAAAAGAGCTTGAAAGCAAAAGTGAATGGAGCTGAGAGAGCAGAGAGAACTTTAAGGAATCACTCGGTGTGTCTGACAGACTGATGGTCGGTAAACACATCAAAGACACATTCACGCTTTGTGCTTTTAAATTATAAGTTCAAGAAGAAGAAAAACAACACACACACACACACGGTGCTGTTGTTGAGGTTATATAGTTTAACCTTCTGCTGTTATCTACATGTATCTAGATACACTACTACCAATAATAATAATAATAATAATAATAATAATAATAATAATAATAATAATAATAATAATAATAATGCATTAACACCAAACTTGTTCTAAAGAAAACGTTGCTGGTCAGATTGGCTGGTTATGATTAGTTAGTATCTGAAAGTCTTCAGTAACGTGGCTTATTTAGTTCACAGCTGTCCGTATAATGCGTAATAAAGTGAAGCGCTCAGACGGTCCAGAGCTGTGCAGCCAAGCGGATACTGCTGATGCTCGCTGTTTTCCAGCGTGTCCCTATTCTGTGAAAGCGACACACTCGCAAAGGCTCAGTCACTGCTGTGTTACCGTCCACGTCTCTAAACGCGTACTCAGTGCGAAGATAACGCAGAGCTACTGTACCTGCGGGCTACACCGTGTTCCTCTAGGGCTTCCACTTCCAGCTCGAACAATCCTCCGTGTTTTCAGCGGGTTTTTTCCTTTTTAAAGAGAGATGAAAGGCGCGCTTCACAGAGCGCCTGTGTGCAGGAATAAAGTGGCGCAAAGCTTCTGAAGAAAAGCGGCTCCAAACTTCAGAAGTCCCGATATCCTCTCCGGGAACACCGAGGCAAAAAACACAGAGACAAAGTCAAACTTCAGCCTGCTGAGCCACAGTCACGGGTGGTTTGGGTTCGGGTTGAACTGTCACTCGGCTGCCCCACTCCCCACTGCACACGGAGGGTGGAGTCACGTCCAGATTTGTTGAGGTGGTTCTTTTGCGCCCAGCTCCTCCCCCCGCGGGCTCCCCACTCAACACTACGTGTTGTGATGTGCTGTCCATCACATCGTGTGATAACTCTACAGTAGTAATAATAATACTATGGTCTGTCAAACTGCGCTCTCCCAACTTGAACTTGTTACAACATGAAGCAGGAATTAGCAGATGTTAGCATGCTGCTCAGTGTTTCCACTCTGACTGTCTCCAAGTTCAAATGAAACCAGCCGTACTGTATACGTGACTGTGCTTATTCATCCTGGTTACTATGATGCCACACACATGGACATCTCTCTAACATTGTAACCTTTGTTCTTCACCTCCTTTAGTGCACTGGTAGACCCGGGCTTTCTTCTTCTCAAACAGCACACTCTCACATATATATTCAACATACAACCATGTTAAAATCATTTACAGGACCCTACAGAGTACAGAAAAGTACAAAAAACACCTTAATGCATCCTTGGGATAAGGCGATATAGGTGGCCTGTGTTGCATCTCAAATGATGCATTTCATGTCAGTACAATTAGAAAAAAGACTTGAAAACATACAAGTTGTTGGAAGGGCTGCCAGTCGAAGCCTCTTCTGTCTAAAGTCAGTGTGGTAGCACAGCTTAGGTTTGCAAAGCTGCAAAATGAACAACAAAACACTTAGAACAATATCCTTCAGACAGACGATACCAAAGTGAAGACGTCTGGCGGCGTGCAGAGGACCACTTTTAAATATCAGCACAAACTGTGAAGCACAGTGGTGGAGGCGTGGTGATCTGGGCACCTTTCAATCACTGAGTGGAGCATGAAGTGTGGACCATCTGTCAAATGTGCGTCCATCTGTCTGACAGTTAAAGCTTGGCTCTAATTGGGTCATGCAACAGGACGATGATCCCAAGCACAGCTGAAAAAGAAAAGAGTCAAGTTGCTGCAAAGGCCCATTCCAGACCTCAGCCCCACTGAAATGCTTTGGTGGGACCTTCAGAGAGAGCACATAACTGAATACCCACACAGAGCACTGAACTGAGGCAATGTTATAAAGAAAGCCAAAATGTTGGGGACTGATAAAGTCATACAGTAAATGATTAGTTCAACTGAAGGTGCTTCCACCGGGCCATCAAGGTGGGTGATTGGTGTCCTCAGGTAAACACATGGCTCTCCAGCAGTCAGCCTAGATTGAGCCCCATGTGTACTGCGAGTTCTACCAGTTGTGCCCTTTCATTTCACTTGGCAGTGCCTTTCTTCTTTTATGCTTATTGATACTAAGACGCGTCTGGTGCACGTCATCATTATTTAGTAGGACCTGCTGTTCCAACATGTAGAACAATAGGTCATATATGGTGACGTATCAACCCTGCCTCTGGTTCCAAGCTCCTACTGAGTTTATTAAGGCGGCCATCTTTTTAACATGTTGCAGTGCTTTGCATTTTCCTTTTTTTTGGCACAAACAAGCCCCTGAAAATAATCACTGGTCACTGTCGGACTGCATTCATCCAATCACATTTACTTTCATTATTATTAGTTACCACTATTCCTCGGTCTTCATTACACTATGTTAGCACCACCAGGTAGCACACTATGTTTCAGCTAGCCAGACTTCACTAACCCTTCAAACACTCTGTCTTTATTTATGTCTGAAGTGATAGCAGAGCTGTTTTAGTCTCTGATGTCTGAACATGGTATGTCCTCTTCAGATGGAAACTGCTTTATGAGTGTTTGCTATTAAATGTATTTGAAAAATGAGGGTGAGAGACTGCAGCTGTTCATCTGGATGAAGAGTTTTCATGACTCATCCAGGTGACTCTCAGCTGACTGCAGGTTTACACAACAGTACATTTGGTTATTGACTGAAACTAGCACCACTGATGAACAATGGACTGGGAGGTCAGTACCAGGGCCACTGATATGCCACACCCACACAGATGATGTGGACAAGTGGGTGAAAAGAAGTGACAGACAACACATTCAAGAATTCACAGAGAGTTGGAGAATGGCTGCAATCACAGCATTGTAAGATGGTGACAGATGGACCCTTAGGCCCCCTCCTCGATTCAGAGATGGTCTTACCCTTTTCACATAAATGGCTGCATTCAAACCAGCGCTCCTCCCTGTCCAGGATGTTACATCCTCATCATTGAAAAAGTGTCCACTGGCCTGTAGGTGTGCATAGACTGCAGAGTCCTGGCCTGACGAGGTGGCTCTGCTGTGTTGTGCCGTCCTCTTAGCCAGAGGTTGTTTGGTTTCCCCGATGTATAAATCCTGGCAATCCTGCACTTAACAGCGTACACTATGTTACTCTGTCTGATATTCTGGATCCTTATCGCAGCACGTTTTGGGGTTTGAAAGTCAAAGAGATGAGATTTTGTCTCAACTATTCTGATACTCCTGACACGTACTCCTGGATCGGCTGGAGCTTTCTTTAGGAGCCTTCCCAGCTTTGACAAACATCCAGCTGGGATAGTCACATTTACTCAGGGCCTTCTTGATGTTCTTCTGCTTCCCTGGCTGCTGTGTCTGTGTGGATGGTGTTCGCTCTGCAGAATGTATATTGGATGTGTTTTATACGTTTCCCCACACTTCCACACAGTATGTCCTGTAAGGCAGTATAATAGAACAATAGAGAGTATATAATGACGTTTGATGTCAAAACCTTAGATACTGATCCGTATGTGTAGGTTTACGGTACACGTCAGCTTGTAGATGCCCCCATTACTGATGGAAATCTCACAGTCTAAGAAGGCTAACCTGCCACTGTTCATATCCTCCCTGGTGAATCTGTTGTGTCGGTCCACCGAGTTAATGTGATCCGTGAATTGTGGTACGTCCTGAGATTTGATTTTCAGCCAGGTGTCATCCACATATCTGAACCAATGGCTTGGAGGTGTTCCAGGGTAGATTAGCAGAGCTCTCTTTTCCACTTCTTCCATGTACAAATTGGCCATGATGGGTGAAACTGGGGAGCCCACGGCACACCCATGTTTCTGCCTGTAGAACTGACCCTTGTATGTGAAACAGGTCTAATGAAGACACAGTTCAAACACACTTGGTGGATGCTGAGAGCGGTCCTGTTGCTGAGGTTGGGGTCTAATCTCTTACGGACTACCTCCAATGTTTCCGTGACTGGGATGCAAATGAAGAGAGATGTAACGTCGTACGAGACCATGGTTTCATCTGCCTGCATGATGACATCTCTCACCTTCTCAACAAAATCCAAAGTGTTCTGGATGTGGTGTTCAGAGCTGCCTATCAATGGGTTGAGGATCGAAGCCAGAAACTAAGAGATGTTACAAGTGACAGAGCTGATCATACAGGCTTTAAAGGAGGTCTTAAAGGTGCACCCTGTTTATATTTTTTTGGTTAACTATACAGACTTGGTGTAGATTCCCCTGGGTGTGACTTGTGGTCTGAGGTCTGGTCAGTAAAGTCAACTGCTTAAGACAATCTATCACCCTTTTCCTGTGACCACTACCTGGGTTTTGTTTCAAGGATTCATATTTTAGTATTTTATAGTATTTTTGTCACTGAGCTAAATTTTCTCATGAAGGTCTGTGTGGTTTAGCAAACCAACACCTGCTGTAGACTGCTGGATGGTGCTGTTGTTGTCCTTACTAAGCGGTGTAAGTACCTTCCTCTCCTCCATGCTGATATTGGATGCTGGGGACTTTGCTTTGCTGAGACAGGCCAACATTTTCATCCACAGTTGCTCTGCTTTCACATCTGCGGTGTTGTTGTTTTGAATTTCTGACTCTGTGGCTGTGATCAGTTACACAATCTCAGCATCATAGCAAAGTTCAGCCCTTTTGCAAGGATATTTTTCTCTGCTTGAGTGAGTTGTTGACAGTTTTTCTCTCTCTTACATGTCCACATCCTCCATGTGACATATCAGTGACCTTATGGCCAATAGTTAGTCAGTGGTCCTAGTTTAGGTCATTTTACAAATGTCCTGTTTATAAGGTTGGAAACCTGCAGTCAGCTGAGACTGAAGAAGTCACCTGATGATGACGAAGCGTTTCTCCCACTGAAAACAGATGAACAGAATCAACTGTCTGGGATTTCCTTACCCGGATGATTGAGCGTGCGTGAAGGCATACCTCCATCTAAGTTTTCTTATAGATTTTTTTTCTTCAGTCCATTTTTGGTCAACTTTTGTACCCTGGGAAAGACAGGCGAACTCCCTCACAAACAGTATGAAGAATAGGTATAACAGAGCTACTCTACAGGGCAAATGGTACAATAGCGCCATTTATTGGTCTTTTTAGGGTACTGCTTCATAGGAAACTTCAACATCTGCTGATTTTAATTCCATCCATTCTCTTCAAACATTCTGCTTGTCTAAAATAGTGGCAGGGGTTTGGACCTTAACCCAGCTGTCATCAGTCCAACCTGAGACAGTTGCCAGTCTAAAGGTAAGGGTTATAATTTTATTTTATTTGTAGTTTTTAAATCCTAGCACCAGAATAAATTAAACCCAGCTATAGCTGGGCGGGTGCCAACTGACAAAAATCTCGGCAGAAGTTCTTGAGAGAAGAGGCTGAATAGTTTAGGTGGGAACAGTAGGTTATATAAGACCAGACTGTTGTTTATTTATTTTTTATGAATGTTTGCTGATAATTCATGTTCCTCTGCATGTGGGGTGGTCACCTACTAACTGGAAGGTTGGTGGTTTGATCCTAGTCTGCTGCCAAATATCCTTGGGCAAAGACATTAACCCCATGTTGCATCTCTGATGTATCAATCAGAGTGTGGATGTTAGACAGGAAGTGTGTAGGAAAAAGTGACAACTAGTGTAGAGTGCTGTGAGTGCTCAGATAGAGCAGAAAAGTGTATCCAGTCCATTTACCATATGTGGGATTGATTTTAGCTCTGCTTTTAATTTGCCTCAGGTCCTTCTGAAAAACTGATCCAGCTGAATGTGGATCCATGTCTAATGGACCTTTAAACATGCAGTCATACATCCCTTACTTAAGAAACCTGGCCTTGATAGTTCTGTTATGTCGAATTTTAGACCTTTCTCCAAGCTTCCCTTTTTAAGTAAGATCTTGGAGAGGATTGTACATACCCAGCTGTTAGACTACTTGAATGACTCGCAGCTGTCTGAAATCTTTCAATCCGGTTTTAAGCCCTTTCACAGTAAGGAGACAGCTCTTGTTAAAGCTATGAATGACATTCTTGTTGCGACTGATTGTGGTAAATATGCTGTGCTTGTCTTATTGGACATGACAGCTGCATTTGACACAGTGGACCACGACCTGCTGATCTCCCGCTTACACCACTGTGTGGGAATTTCTGATTTGGCATTGTCGTGAATAAAATCATAACTTTCCGAAAGGAGTTTTTGTGTTAAGCTGGGGTTGGCCGCGTCCTCTGTGGCACCTCTGCTTTGGGGTGTCCCCCAGGGATCTATCCTCGGGCCCTTATTTTTCTCGCTGTATTTACTCGCTCTTGGTGCGATTTTTCGTAAACACAAAGTGTCATTTCATTTGTATGCCGATGACTGCCAGCTTTACCTTTTAGTCATTTGGATACCTCCTCATGTCAATCTCTGCTTGACTGTCTTAGCGATGTCAAATCATGGATGGCAAATAACTTTCTAAATTTTAATGATCAAAAACAGAATTTTATTTGGCCCGCATCGTTCTACTGATTCTCCAGATGTTGATTTTGGTGATTTGACCCCCCATTTGAAAAGTTCAATCACTGATCTTGGTGTTAAATTTGATTCCGCACTTACCTTCGATGGTCATGTAAATGTTAAAATCAGCTTTTTATCACCTCAGACGCCTGTCGAAGGTCAAACCTTTTCTTTTCAAACGCAATTTGGAAACTCTTATTCATGCTTTTATCACCTCACGTCTGGACTATTGTGATTCCCTTTTAATTGGGCTTGGGTCGGGCACTTTGTCAAGCCTGCAGTTAGTGCAAAATGCAGCAGCACGATTTTTAACCGGTAGTAGAAAATTCGATCACATCACTCCGGTTCTGGCTTCTTTACATTGGCTTCCCATTTAATTTAGGGTTCGTTTTAAAGTCCTTTTATTGGTTTTTAAATCTTTAAATTGTCTGGCTCCTGTATGCTTATCTGATTTGCTGAAGTCACATGTTCCTACTCGCTCCGTTCAGCTGAGCAGCTGTTGCTGTCGGTTCCTAAGTCGCGGCTGAAATGCAGAGGAGACCGATGCTTTGGAATAACCCGCCCCTCCATATTAGACAAGTGTCATCAGTGCAGGTCTTTAAGTCCAGATTGAAAACCTACTTTTATTCCCTAGCTTTTAGGAAACTGACACCTTTCTTATTAATTTATTGTATTTTAACTTTGCTAGTTGTTTTGATTTGTGTTGTTCAGCACTTTGGTCTGCCTGGTGTGTTTTTTTAAAGTGCTATACAAATAAACGATGATGAACTGGTATCGCTCTTTCATGTCAGACGGGCCACAGCAGGTGAAGCTGAACTCTGTCTTCTCTGACACGGCGTTTAGCACCTTTACACTCATGACTGTACTAGCTCCCAGCCAAATCCATATGTTGTGAAACTCTCAAGAATTACTAGCAGACCATCCTCACACAGGCAGACGGCATTATAACAGATCTGCATGCTCTGCATTCTGAGTATGTTTTATTAAAGTTCGGGCAACAGTACACAGCTTTTCTATGTCAGCACGACCAGTACAAGCACTCATTCCTTCCCTGTTAGTTAAGATGATTAATGGACACAGAGCACGAGAGGAACAGGTCCAGAATAACTAATTTGGTTCTTTAATCATGTTTAATCATTCCACTTGGGAACAAGTGTATTTTTAATGTACTTATTTGTTTTCATGAATCTGTGTATGTATTTAGATTTTGTTATTATATGGAGGAGTCCAGTGGGTCTGTCCAAGCATGAGCCTTTTAGCCAGCTGGTGTGGCGTTCAGACTAAGTTAAAGGTGGGTCGCTTGGTATCCAGCAGGACTGTGGTACCAAACCCATCCAGCAGGTTTGGTACCACAGTCTCCGCTCGGCGCCATATTAGACAGACGCTGGTGCGGAAGGTGGGGAAGGGGAGGAGGACTCCTCCTGATAAGGGTACTAACCTATACGCAAAATACTTATGGTTGACAAGTACTTGGGTAAACGTAGTCCCAGACTTGCTGCTTTCGTAGTTGTTGAGCACACTCGCCGGCAGAAATGACTTCGTTGACTCAGAGGAGTTCGGGCCTCGTGCAGAGGCGGACCGAAGCCTCGCGTAACGCCGCTGAGAAAGACCGACCGTCCGGCCAAGAAGACCACGGGCCCCGGCGAGCGGAGGATCAGGACGATGATGATACCGGAGACTCCAAAGAAACACGTCTTACACTGATGGAAGAAGTGTTGCTGTTAGGACTGAAGGACCGAGAGGTAATGGCAGATAAACTGCGCCTTAACGCTGTAGCAAAAGAGCTAAACGTTATCGCTCGGCTAACGTTAGCTGTAGTCTCCAAACAGCTCTATGTAAGTTAGCATCCCTGCTTACTACAATGCTAGCTGTAGCTAACAACAGTTGCTGTCTTCGGTCTGCAGCGAGATAGCTAATGTCTGGTTCTACACGATTATGAGAAGAAATGATATTTTCCAGTAGTTCAGCAGTAATGGTCGGAGAATAAGTGCGACGATCCTGGCGTTGATGTTAGTAGCTCCAAGCTAACACAATGAGTAAGAAGAATAAACGGAGTGGAGTCAAAGTAAAAAACTGTTTACAGGAGTGTTTGATTATAACTAATACTAAGTGCTACAGTACCAGTGAAAGGTGTGTTTAGATGTATCGATGATTTGCTGTCACTGAACTACGAACAGCAAGCAAAGTGAAATCTACCGATAAATCTAAAATCCTCGAGTACGGATTCAGTCCCGTTCACATAACATTAGGAATGCAACTAAAACGGAGTCATTCAACCTCCAAATTTAACAGGAAACTTGTGTCAGTTTAAACAAAAATACAAACCATGTTTGCTCGTTTTAACTTTGGCGTCAGCAACACAAACAACTGTTTTTTCTTCTGTAGAGAGTAAATGCAGCAGCTTCAGTAGCCAGATGACTGATGGAGGGTTTCAGGTACACAACAAGACTCCAGTTTATCACAAATTTAGCTGAGAAATGAAGACAAATGAGTTTCAGTGGGTGACCAAACATTATTCCTTCAGATCCATGTTGATAAAGTAGAGCGTGGTCCTCTCTCACCCATGCCACGGCTGTGGGACTCTGCTTTGATGACAAGCTGCTGTTGATTGGTTGTTAACAGAACTGATAATCTGATATTCAGGTCATCTAGAATTGAAATTGTCAACAATATTGAGACAAACGGTGCTGTGTTTGCCTCCTCCAGCTGACAGACAGACCAGCACTCAGTCCCTCCCTCACTGACTGAAGTAGTTTACATTCACAGCACTGAACAACTTCAGGAGGAATGTCAGAGGTCATAAAAGGTCTGCTGCAACAACAACTGTTAAATAATGATCATAAAAGTTAGCCTGGGTGGTGCACACATTAAAATGAGCCATTTACTCACAGTTGTCAGTCGTGTGACCGACTCACAACCCTGGTGGCCAAAACATGATTCCACTGTGTTGCTAACAGTGAACAACGATGACATTTGTGGTCCATATTCTGCCTCAAAAGTGTCCAAGTGTCTCCCAGAGCTCACTCAGCTTACACTGCTGTCAGTACGGACACATGCATATATGTTCTGTCAGGATCGGTGAGTAACTCTGTGGGAGGTGAGGAACAAGACATTTTTGATCGTCAAAGCAAAAGTAAGCGCACAGCTTACTCCCCTCCAGATCCAGAGCTCTTTGGAGCACGTTATCACGTCTCTGTATGTCGCTGCGTTCCTCTTTCCCTCGACTCTGATTGGTCTTCCAGTTCTTGCTGCTAGAAAGCCCCTCCACAGCATGATGCTGCCACCACCATGGGCAGCACCTGTAAGGAAGTGATGAGGGACGCCTGGTTTCCTCCAGACATGACGCTTGTCTTTCAGGCCAAAGAGTTCAATCTGTGTTTCATCAGACTTTTGTTTCTCATGGTCTGAGAGTCCCTCAGGTGACAAACTGCAAGCGCCTGTCATGTGCTGCTCAGATTAGCCAGCTCTAAGAAGTGTTTCCAAACTCCTGTTTATAGATGATGTTACTGTACTCTGGGACCTTCAGTGCCAGAAGTCTTTTTGTACCCTTCCCCTGATCTGTGCCTCGATACAGTCCTGGTTTACACACGTTCTTGGACTTGATGGCTGGGTTTGTGCTCTGACTTGTGCTGTTAGCTACGGGAGCTTATGTAGACAGCTGTGTGCCTTTCCCAATCATGTACAGTCAACTGAATTTACCACAAACAGGATGCAGTTCGATTCCCCCACCTCCCTTTATGGGGAGTTTGCAGGTTCTCCCGTGGTTGCGTGGGTTCTCTCCAGGCTCTCCAGCTCCGCCCACCATCCAAAGACATGCAGTTAGTGGGGTTGAGTTAGTTGGTGCCCTTAGGTGTGGATGTGAGTGTGAACGGTTGTTTGTCTCTGTGTGTTAGCCCTGTGGCACACTCATACACTGTGTGTTTAGAATGGGTCTAACTGAAAGTAATTCAATTCAGTTTTATTTATATAGCGCCAAATCACGACAAAAGTCGCCTCAAGGCGCCCCAAGTACCTGCAATGATTTGGCACTGAGCTCGTCGGCTTCTGGCACTCTTTGACAACCTGGATTGTGATGATGTGTCCCATTGCACAGGGCTACACCTCATTCTGGAATGACTGCATTTCATCAGGGCTGCGAGGGTGCATGCTGATCGAGCTGGCCCTCCGAGGACGCCTTCAGCTGGAGGCCTGTGGCATGAGGAGGAAAGGTCTGCTGGCCAGGAAGGTACGACACGGTTATGTTTAAGCTTTCACTGTGTACACAAGCTGTTTCCCGTTTAGACATCGTCACCCTGCTGGTGTATTAGTGTCATGGTGTCACGGCGTGTAGTGAAGGCCTGCACAGCAACGATCCTCTTTAACAGACGTGTAATATCAGCTGTTCATGTCCAAGCACACACCTAAAATCTCATGTTGTTACAGTTTTGTATCTTCTAATCAGTTTTTATTGCATTGAAGATGTTCTTTGTTTTTAATTCAGTTTCATTTCAGTTTAGTTTGGATTCATTCAAAATGTTTAGTTTTTATTAGTTATTAGTCTTTTTAACCCTTTAAAGCTGGTCGGAGCGGGCACACTCCGTTTTGCGTAACTATTTTTAAATCCCAGTAGCTCTGCAACCACGTAAGCTAGCGCAATAATTTTTTTCATAAGAAACCGGAGGAGTTGTACTTACATCTTATGCCATCAGCTTGTCCTCGGTCATGGTTTCCTTCCACATAAAGCTTTGCAAAAATTTCATAAAAAACACTTGCAGGAACAAAAACATAATATTCCAGAAACAGGCTTTGCCGATCCGATCAGCTGTTCATAGCACTTCCTACGTTGGAATAGACGTCAGCGCGAACTATCACATGTCCGCCATTACCTGCCCGAAACGGGAAGTGATGTCATTTTTTGCGGAAATGTCGTTTTTTACCTTCAGGGCCTCATGAGCCTATAGATTATCCCCACTGCGAGAGTCACCACATTCCCAAACCAGACACCGTGGATGGACAGATCGATCCGCACTGCAGTAAACGCCAGGACCGCCTCCTACAACGCGGGTCTCGCCACTGGCGATATGAGCGCCTACAAAGCGGCCTCATACGGCGTGCGGCGCGCGGTGAGAGATGCCAAACGCAGGTACCGGGAACGTGTGGAGTCCCGCTTCCACCAGGGCGACACACGGAGTATGTGGCACGGACTACGCACCATTACGGACTACAAAGCCAGGGACACTGCGCCGATCAACGCCGACTCTGCATTCACCAACGAGCTGAATCGGTTCTACGCCCGTTTCGAGGTTAGCCAGGCGGCTAATGCTATCTACCGCCTGACTACCGAGGACAGTGACGTCATCAGCGAGAGACCGGTGACCAGCATCGCGGAGCATGACGTCCGAGCGGCACTGAGGAGAGTGAACACAAGGAAAGCGGCGGGGCCAGACGGCATCACCGGCCGTCTGCTGCGCTGCTGTGCTGACCAGCTAGCAGGTGTGTTCACTTACATCTTCAACGAGTCCCTGGCGAAGTCTGTGGTCCCCACATGCTTCAAAAGATCCACCATCATCCCTGTGCCCAAGAACAGCAAACCCTCATCCCTGAACGATTACCGGCCAGTTGCACTGACCTCGGTAGTAATGAAGGTGTTTGAGAGGCTGCTGAAGAACATCATTCTCCATCAGCCCCAATCGCTGCAGTCTCACCACAGATCACGGACCTACAGATCCGCTGCAGTTCGCCTACAGATCCAACAGATCCACAGAGGATGCCATCGCCCACGTCCTACACACCACTCTCAGCCACGTGGACAAGAAACAGGGTAACTATGTGCGAATGCTGTTTGTTGATTACAGTTCAGCGTTTAACACAATAGTGCCCTGCAGACTGTTCACAAAGCTGAGGGATCTGGGACTTAACAGCCGTCTGTGTGCATGGGTGTTGGACTTCCTCACTGGCAGAACTCAGGTGGTGAGGGTGGGCAGGTGCTTCTCCAACAGCATCACCATCAACACAGGAGCACCTCAGGGATGTGTCCTCTCGCCACTGCTCTACTCCCTCTACACTTCAGACTGTGTGGCCACCCATGGCTCCAACACCATTGTGAAGTTTGCTGACGACACAGTGGTGTTGGGTGCCATCTCCAACAACGATGAGGCGGCCTACATGGATGAAGTGAAGAATCTGGCATCGTGGTGCCAGGACAACCACCTCCAGCTGAACGTCAGCAAGACCAAGGAGCTGGTGGTGGACTTCAGAAGGGGTCAGCACAGAGACTACAAGCCCATTATCATCAATGGAGCTCCAGTGGAGAGGGTGCAGTCCTTCAAGTATCTTGGTGTCCACATCTCCTCAGACCTGACATGGGCTGCCCACATTCAGGTCCAGACCAAAAAGGCTAGGCAGCGCCTGTATCACCTACGACAACTGAGGAAGTTCAGGGTCTCTCCAAATAGAGCAGGGCGATATGGCCAAAAATATTTATCACGATATATATTTGAAAATTTGCGATAACGATATAACTGACGATATAATTGATGCGAGACAAAATACAACTCCACAACATTACTAGCGCAAAAAGACAACCTTCCATTTATTTTCACTTAAACAAGAAGCTGGTTTTTATGTACATTAAAGCTTTATAAAAATGTAACAGTGCAAATGCAAATTCCTTGCTGAAAGTTTAACCAAAAGGCATTTCCAGTAGAAATGGGCTGACATATCCTGAGCATAACCATGTATAATATCCACTGAAGTTAAAAAGAGGTGCTTTGCAACATTAAACTGCAGTGTGCATGTGCATTAAGCGAAACAAACAGTCAGATAATCAAACTTTATTAAACTCATTCTTCTTGCTTCCTCCACTTCTGTACCATTGATTCATTAATGTTGAATTCTCTGCAGCTGCTCTATTCCCATGTTGTTGCAGTATATTAATGACTAACCTCGTATTGTGGATGGATTATCTCAGTTGTTCTCCTGACTGAAGTTTGGTCCGTTTACAGCATCCTGCCATGCGATTGCATTTGTCTCTAACCATGAGGAACCTTAACGTTAACTTTTATAAGTGGAAAAGTGTTAGTGTTTGTCCTCCAGCTTCACCTGTTTATGTTATGCTAACATAGCTGTGTCGCTAGCGATCACGTAGCACATCATTATATACCAGCTAGCCCAACTTCAGTAACCCTACAAACGTCACTGCTGTTTAGTTTCCTGTCTTCATTTATGTTGGAAGTGATAGCAGAGCTGTACGTTTGATTTTTTTCAGAAATCTCTCAGTCAGAACATGCTATATCATGCTGGTACTAGCGTAACTAGCGAGCTAACTTCCGCTAGCTTCCTGCTAACTTCTAACTCCGTTAAATGTAATAACATTTTGTTTTCATGGATGCCTGGAAGTTAAACTTCATAGTTACACCTGGTAAAGCAGCAATGCTGATCGTTTTATTAAAGATGAAAGAATTTAGACAGTTTTTAACTCTCAGTGATGCTGCAGTGTTCGTTTGACCTGAAGATACGGAGTTTAGGACCCAGATTACTCCCAGATTTAAGAGCATCTTAGTCCGACGGCCGCTTGCATGTTCTGCAAAAAAATGTGCTTTGTCGTGTATCTGACGGACAAACACCAAACCAGTTCCACATCACTGAAGTTGCACCATTTTTACAAACCAATTCTGGTTCATCTGTTTCACTCAACAATCGGCCATGTGCGTATGAAAACAAAGGCACTGCGCATGCGCGTTTTACTCATATTCTATCGCGATATTTCATTTTCCTATCGTTGCCTAACATTATACCGGTATTACCGTGAACGGTATAATATGGCCCAGCCCTACTCCAAAGATCCTCAGGATTTTCTATACAGGCGCTGTGGAGAGCATCCTCACACAGAACATGACATCGTGGTTTGGGAACAGCTGTGTGAAGGACCAAAAAGCTCTCCAGAGAGTGATCCGTACAGCAGAACGCTGCTGCAGGATTGCTCTCCCCCCGCTTCAGGACACCTACACCAGGAGATGCCGGACTAGAGCAGAGCAGATACTGAAGGACCCGTCCCATCCTGGCAACAAACTGTTCCAACTTCTGCAATCTGGTAGAAGGTTCCGCATCTTCCGGGCAAGGACAGAGAGACTCAAGAGGAGCTTCTATCCCCAAGCCATCCGTGCCCTAAACACACACACCCGCCCTCTCACATCATCTATAATTGACTGAGACAGGACTCTTCCAGACACTAAACCAAGGCACAATGTACATTTCAATTCCTTTAATTTTAAATATGTTTATATTGTCTATCCTGTAAAATAGTCAGATGTCTATTCATATTAATGTACAGAATTCACCTGCTTGCTGCTACTACTGCACATTCACCCAGTGTATATACTATATGTTATATATATATATATATATATATATATAAGTCCGAGGGCGTGCGGTGTGTGTGTTTGGTGTGTGTGTGTGTGTGTGTGGGTATTCCGTTGTGCTGGTTTTTATGTATATTATATGTATATTATATGTATATATATATGTATATATATATGTATATATGTATATATATATGTATATATGTATATATGTATATATGTATATATGTATATATATGTATATAAATAAATAAATAAATAAATAAATAAATAAACGTTTTGTGATATATGTGGTTGTCGGGACGATGAATGTCTTATTTCGGGATATAACATTTTGGTCATGGTATTACAATAAACCACAACTTAAAGTTTTACTAATAATGCGCTAATAAAAGGTTTCACCAAACTAGCAAATACTAAAACTGAGCATCGTTTTATTTTATTTTGATGTTAATTTTTGATAACAAAACATCAGGCTGAGATTTGATGTGTTTCTCAACAGCGATGCTCCATCTGATGGCTGCTTAGGACACAACCATTTATCATAATTGAGAATAAAATTTTAACAGATTAACTGACTAGTAAGTCTGGTACTGACTAGTGACAGCAGCGACGATGACTAGTCCCACACATGCCTAGTTGTATTTTTTTTATCTGTCTTGTGTGAAACTTGTATGAAAAGCATACAAGAGTGAAAACAGATATAAGATCCCTTGAAAAATTATATAATGAAACTTGTATGTTTTGTATACTTCCTAAAAAAAAAAAAATGAAAGTAATGAGAAAGTGGCCACTTTCACGAGTACATCATATGTTTTTACTATTTCTTTTCCATATGGGTTAGTTCACTCAGTGCGGTTTCACGTCGTGTCAGTCTTTACTATAATAATCTGCTCCCACTTTGTTGGTAAGGACTTTTTCATGGTTCAGCAAAGCCTGGATTAACTTAAGGATTCTTTCAGGGTTAAGAACATTTCCACGCTCTGCCTGCTCTGATTCTGGATGCATTTGCAGGTGATTTGCAAGTCAGATGCTCCTACAGGTGATGTGCTCCTGGACGAAGCTCTCAAACATATCAAAGACACTCAGCCACCAGAGACTGTGCAGAGCTGGATCGAGCTGCTCAGCGGTGAGTTCAGCTGTCCTGCTGCTGTGGGCTCTCCCACTGCACTGTGTGCTTCCTCACTGTGTTTCCAAGTGACTCTTAGCAAAACACTGTGTCTGCAGGTGAAGTATAGTTAGAGTGTGAGTGCTGTGATGTGTGCACTGTGAAGCAGGTAAATAACAGTCTTCCTGAATAGGTTGACAGGCATATTGTTGTAACAACCAGTCCACCAACAACTTTGAAGAACCGGCATCTCCAATCACACCAAACTGTCTACAGTTTATTGAGCTAAAGGTTCATTGAGGCCTTTGCCGTACTGGCGCTGATGCGGTTCTTCCTGTTGTCTGTGGTGTAGGCGTAGCTGAGCTGGTTATGCTGGCGTGTGACGGCACTAACGCTCTCTGTTCTGTTGGCTCCTTGTAGGAGAGACGTGGAACCCGTTGAAGCTTCATTACCAGCTGAGGAACGTCCGTGAACGGCTGGCCAAAAACCTGGTGGAAAAAGGTGTCCTGACTACGGAGAAGCAGAACTTTTTGCTGTTTGACATGACGACACATCCCCTGACCAACAACAACATCAAACAGCGCCTCATTAAGAAGGTGCAGGAGGCTGTGCTGGACAAGTGGGTGAATGATCCTCATCGAATGGACAAGCGGCTCCTGGCTCTCATCTTCTTAGCCCATTCCTCTGATGTTCTGGAAAATGCCTTTGCCCCCTTGTTAGATGATCAGTATGACCTCGCCATGAAGAGAGTGCGGCAGCTGCTGGAACTGGAGCCAGAAGGGGAGAGCATGAAGGCCAACACCAACGAGCTGCTATGGGCTGTGGTGGCTGCTTTCACTAAATGAGGGAACAGCAGGCAGTGGCACTGACGTGACAGTGGGGGTGAAAATTACTCCTGACCCCGACATTTTGACTTTAGTGACTTCTGGTACCAGACGCCTGGATTTTGTGGCATGGGCTGCCCTGTTTCCTCTTCCTGTTTCTTTTCCTTCCTGATGATTCTCTTTGATGATGCTCCATGACCCTGTCTCTACCCTGCATCAGTTGTGTTCACTTTCATAAAAACTAAGCGTGGTTAAATGCCACATCACATGAAGTGCTTGCTGATGGTATGGGTAGGCCTGAAATCACTGATTCATATCCTGTTTGTTTTTTTTGTTTTTGTTTTTTAAGAGTGGTACAGATGTCACAGGTTATCAACAATGATGTACATGTGCACAGCAGCAGGAAAGTAAAAGGTTAGATGAGCTGGAGTCTAATTTATTGGGAGTAACATCTGTACTGGTCCACTCTGTGACTGTGGGCCACCATCAGATTGAGTTCCAGATGCTTGCTCAGTTGTTGGGACACTAACTCCTGTTTGGTTTGGCTCTGTTGTGCTGCTGGCATAGTTAGAAGTGAGTCACTGAAAACCAGTATAAATTTGATCGTGATGATGAAACATCTCCTACAATACCAGTGTGGCCACCGTCGAGGCACGAGCACGGACCCGTACATGATGGAGCGAGCCTTGCATCATCAACGCACCCAGTGACGGACGATGCTGTAGCACTGAAGCTATCCTGGCTCCATGTTCTTACTAACCCACAGGATTTTGTTTTCATTTGACACCAGTCTGTAGCTCTGTAACGTCACTGGTTTGTATGGTCGTTTACATGTTGGGAATGAAGAAGTAAAACTTGATGTATAGCTCGCTCACACTTGGACCAGGCTTTTGACTAGAGAAGTGCAATTTCAGCTCCAATTTTGAACAACTTTGAGAACCCATGATGATAATAAACCAAGTTCCTCTCTGGTTTGCAAAAATGCTGGCATCAAGTGTTGAGAAGCCAAAAGTCATTTCCCATCAGGCTGTGGCAGTTTCCAGTTCAACGCAGAACAACATCAGACACCATAAAAGCAGCTAAGTGCTGTCGGCCTGGGGCGGCGCGCCCGTGTCGTCGTTAGCGCTGTGGTGTCTCGTGGTTGGCTGAGGCCTTTTGTGTGGACTTTGCATGCTCTCCCTGTACTGCATGGGTTTGCTCCAGCTAGTCCTCCCACAGTCAAGACATGCATGCTTGGGTAAATGGTCATTCTAAGGTGGTCATGGAGATGATGTGCATGAAGTGTACAGAATAAAGTCCTGTGTGTATGTGTGGTTGGTAAAGACTAGAGCTATACAGATGTGAGCGGTCTCGCTGTTCGTGGAGGAGTTCCTGTGGGATTAACACGGCTGATCGTGGACCAGGGCACGCTCCTGCAGAAGGTGCTTTGGATTTGAGCTTCTGTTGTTTCTGTGCTGATCAAAGGAGAAATGTTCTCAAAAGTAGTTGAACAAAAACAGTTCTGAATTATTTGTAATGAAAACAGATTTTGGTGCAGGACTAATATCAGCCCTATAAGGAGTTTGGAAAGAGCTGATGACCTTCACAGACACACACCGGCTAATGTTAGCACGCCAGGGTTAAAGCAGCAGGTGGTGGGACAGCGCCTTTTTACTCTGTTTACTAAGAATCAAATGTTCCACTTTGATAGAGAATAAACTCAGCATCAGTGACGGCTACAGTTGGTACATTCCCAACTAGAATGACACATTTCAGTGAGACATGGTGCTGAATGCAGGCTCCTCCTCCAGCATGTGCTCACGCTGCCTGGTCTTGGGTGCATAAAATAAAAGTGTTCACTGAGTGAAACGAGCTCCGTCTGATGACTCATAATCCACCTCTTCTCCAGTACAGGGAGACTCCAGGAACCTCCAAACAGCAAAGTCCCAAACTGACTGTTTACGTTACTCTGATGCGATGTACTGTCTGCACCACACAAGCTCAGCTTGGGAACCTGGACACTCCGTCTAATCGAGAACGTCATCTGAAAAGTAAGCAGGTTCCTTCACCAGTAACAACCACGGCACACCAAAAACAAAAGGCCTTAAGAACTGCACAAACTGATTGCATCATGTTCATCGATGTGTATCTTTAATGCCATTATTTCTTCTTGGAAGCAGTTTTCAGTTTAAATGAGTATGAACCGTACCACTATCAGTGGAAAGAGTGTGGGTCTGTGATCTCAGTGAACCCACACAAGATGTGCCCAGGAGTTCTGAGGTTATTTTAACTTGGTGGACTAATCCCATTGTGAAGTCAGAGGGTTAATCAGTAAAGTGTAACCTACAGTATGTAAATCAGAAGCTCTGTGTTTACATCTTTGCCCACTGTGGTTCTCAGTGGAGCCGATGTAGCCATTGTCTCTACGTTTTAGCTGAACTCCTCAGATTGAGCCGTCTGTTGGATAGCTGGGTACACGTCAGGCTGTCAGAAGAATCGAACCTCACATTCTCCTATTGATGTGTTTGAATTAGGCATAAGTTTATGGTTCGCTGTCAAAATGTACAAAGCCTTTTCCTCATGAACGTGATGAAGGATGTTGCTTAATTAGGATGACCTTCTTCTTTTCCATATCTAACAAGAGAAGAGACATCAGGAGGCTTGTGCATAAGGCATGACATGTTGCAGCAAAGTGATGTGTGCTCTCTAAATAAAGGGACCTCCAGTCTGTGTACTGTCCTGAAAACAGATCCAAGAACAGCCAGATCATAACGTGTGACTTAGATGTTTAAACCAAACTCTGTGCTTGTGCGAGCCGTGTAGCACTAATCTGCCAGGCCAGCTTCAATTCCAATGAAAATGATTGAACAGAAGTCACAGACACACCCACTCATGGTTTTTGTTGTTATTTGTTTGCAACACAGTGAATTCAGTCAGAATAAATGCAACTTTTATACAAAGTCCACCAAATGATAGATGACACAGCTGGGCACAGATGTGTGGTGCAGCCTGTTGTAGCGTACTGATAAACACAGCTTCACCAAACACTAGTGAAGTCTTACAGGGACGTTTAGGTTTGAATGTAAACACCAGGTAGAGTGGACTGTGTCACCCTGTCGGTGGGTCGAGTGTGACACACTGATACACTGCACTGCATTCAGCACTCTGTCACCACAAACCTGAATAGTAAATGGAACAGTTCTTTCAAAGCGCTTCACACTCATTCATACAAGCACCGTTTGCTCTTTCTGTGTGTGTTAAACGTCACACACTTCGTACACTCACGGACGCTCTGGAGAGCAACGTTTTAGCTCAAAGTGTGATGTGGGCTGAATGTTACTTTAGTTTGTTTAGTGATGATTCACTTCTCACCTCGTACATCGACTCTAAACTGCTTAAGAGGAGGTTCTGTTCAAGGTTACAGGTGTGATTGAACAGGTATACAATCACAGCTCACTGACCAATCAGCCTGGAGAATAGCACCACCAGTCCTGGATGAGCCATGCTGTGGCTGCCTGTGCTCAGAAGAGGAAATCAACATTACCTTCATTTAGCTTCATGTGGCTTATAATTTAAAAAAAAAGGAAATTGGAGTTCTGGACAGTCACAAACATGCCTCCTAATCAGTGTACAAACATCTAAATACATATAATGAAAGAACAACACAAAAATCAGACAGTTAAAGATAACGCTCATCCCAGCACTTTGCATGTTTGTTAGTCGACGCTGAGTGAAACAACGTAGTCACTGCAGGTCCAACAACACAACTGAGTGACCCTGGGGATGTTAGCCATCCTCATTAAGACCTCTGGTTAGTGTTACCAAAGTGCATTTATACAATGTAGCTGATATTTAATGGGGGGGGGAGTTAATGGAGAATCAACTTAAACTGGCTTCTTGTCAAAAATCACGACTCATGAAAGCACAGCGAGAGGAAACGCTTCGTGTGCCTTCAGCTGGTGATGAGCAGCGGTCAGTCTGGGACGGCTGCGTCTTTTACCTGTGACAAAGTGAACAGAAACACACGTCATAGCTCCTTACATCCACTCGTATGCACTGTTTGTGACTTTTTTTGAAATGGGACATAACTGTGTTTGACCTTTTGTGTTACTAATGTTACTTCTTTTGCAGATATTAGCTGCTTCCAACATTACAGGTTATATTAAATACAGTTTATGTTCAAAACGTCGAATCATGAAACGGACAAAACGTAGAAAAGGAATCGTAAGTGTTCTTTGTGCAGACACAAACCTTAAACTTACTCAATTCCTTTGACCTTCAGCTCATCTCGAACTCGGCTGAGATACTCGGGGTCGGGGTATCCGTAGCTGTAACACAGTCACAGGAAAATAAGTGCTGCCTTATATTCTTACTGTTGCACGTTATTAACTGCTGTCTACTCTTGTCCTTGATTGTGGTACGCTCGCCTCTATCCTCTCACCACCCAGCAGCAGATGGCTGCCTGGTTCTGCTGGTGTCTGAAACGTCCAGCATGTTGTTCATAAGGCTGTCTGGCTGTAAGGTGGGCTAATATGTAAGGTGTCTAACTTAAATGACATAGAAAGCACCTGGTAAACTAGCACTAACAAACCAAACTGAACTACAGCCAGTTTCACCTGTGATGAAAACTAATAATGAGCCTGAGACATTAACACAGACTGATGTAAAATAAAGGAATCGATACACGCTAGTTCTCTTTGCAAGGGAAGAACTGTTCGGAGGCAAAAACCTGCTGACATGCACTCATCAGTAAATTTGTAAGGGGACGTCCACACAGCAGGTGCCGTCCAGAGACCGCAGCATGGACATGAAAGTAAGCGACTTCAAGCAACAGTGAACAAAAGAACCACCGATGTGGTAAATAAAGTGTGATCTCTGCAACCGGTGCTTGAAATGTTCACTAGCGATGCTTCCTGTGTGGACGCCCCTTAAATATAGAAGAGACTGAGGGTACAATCAATCCAAAATGATCGATCAATGAGCTGCAGTGTTGCCATTGTCCTTACTGAGTCGGTCCTCCATGTGTTGAGGTTTTGTGGTGGATATCGTTCCATGTGACTGTATTGTTTCTGCCACTGGTAGTGGAGCGTCCGATGGTGAAAATGAGTCTCTGATCGAAGGCTCGCCTCAGCAGGCCCAGCACCATCCTGCCCTCCGGGGAGTCTGGAAGGTAGGCTGTCCGGGATGCTCCTTCATATGGTTGACCTGGGCTGGGATGCTCCTCCTGCAGACAGACAGAAAAGGTTTCTCTGCTTTATCTAACTTGCCTAGACTCAATGTGGATTTGGCTCTCAGGTAGCTGTAGTTTGCAGTTGCTTTCTTTATTACTCTTTATAAAAGTAAAGCTTATATGTGCTGAGAAATTCTTAAAATTATGCACACAAGACAGAAGTTGTGAGTCTCACACGAATGAACCCACCCGTGTGCTTCATGTACACTCAGCTAGTACACAGGAGTACGACCTCCAAAACACCTCTTTGAGTTTTTGTTTGATGTGACAAATATTTAATATTGCACGCCCTTCCTAACACAGCCCTCCCAGTTCTCCAGGCTGGTGACATCAGGAGCACACTGGGTCCTGCTCTGATCAAAGAGTTCACGTTGACACGAGTCTGTGTTGGATTCTGATCTTTCACTGTGTAATTACTGAATTTAGTACAGACCACTGTTTTACTGAAAAATGTAATGTGATTCCAGTAACATGAACTTTGTGACACATTACACCCAACACTGACCGTATAACAGTGGCAATAAATCAAGCTTTGCCACACAGACGAGATCATAACACCTCGATAAGACCAGTATCTGAGGTGTCAACAACACAACTTCAAAAGCTGCAGTTTGTCACCCCTGCAGGATCAGACGGGGCCAACGCTGTGACCAATGCTGCCTGATGCTCATGGCAGCAGACATGCCTGCTGTAGGGTTTTCTTTACAGTACAATATAAAGCACCTCCAGGTGATTCTTGTAGCGATTTGGTTCTATATAAATAAAATTAAATACAACAAGTTACATTTTGTCAATGAACTAGCCAAAGCCATAATTCACTGACACGTGAACTGGGGCAATGGAAAGCTACATGACTGACTGCTCACAACAACACAACCAAGAGGGTCATGCAATTGGACAAACACGCTCACTGCAAGAGTCAGACAGGATCAAATCTGGTGCAGGTACTGATAAGAGTAGTAGAAGGGTCACCAGGACCAGGTGGTGACAGGAGCTAGACTCAGGCTATCTATCTATCAGGTATCTTGTTTTAGATTCAGATTGCTCCGTGAGACGATCTCAAGGTCACCTGACATTAGTACAGCAAAATAAAAACAGACGATTAAATAAAGTAAATAGAGTCACAACTCTAAAACTAATCAAGGTACCAAGAGACTAGGACCAAGTTATAATGGCGGGTATGCAGTTCTGAACAGATGGATGTTGACATGTGATTTAAAGGAGAAGTGGTGTGGTGCTCTGGTGGAAGTGCAGCCCAGAGTTTTGTGGTAGTGAGGTGAGCAGATGGAACATTTTTCTGATGATGATGATGATGATGTGAAACCTAGATGCTGCAGACTGGGGTCATGAAAGGGTAACAAAAACACACACACACTAAAAGTTAAGTTAAGAATATTATATAAGAATATATAATATATAAGTTATATAAGAATATTCTGCTGTCTGGATTTAGCCTATGCCTTAGTCTTATTTCTGTGTTTAATAATTATGAGTCTGACCGGGTCAAACATGTCTGCCTGAAACCAGGAAGCAGATCACAGAGAAAATGACCTTGTATCTCCACTCTTACCTTTTGAATGCCACGTGGAATATAATAGTGGATGACTATTGTTCCATACTTCTCATAACCAGGCAAAGGTGAAGTGTTTTTGGTGACCTCCATAGCGCCTCCATCAGGCTGTGTCCCCTTTAGAGTGCCATATAACTCCCCACAGGTGGGACAGACTGGCTTGTATACAAAAGCTTTCTCCAGACAGTCGCTGCAGAAAGAGTGCTTGCACCGCAGTGTCTTTTTCTTATTTCTGACTATTGTTTCCATACAGATGGGGCAGGATTCATCATCAGGATCTTTGTGTGCCGATGAAGACGCTGAGATTCTGTTGCTCAGACTGTCTGTTGGAGTTTTGCTGACCAGACGCTTGGTTGAATGATTTTTCCAAAGAAACTCCTTAAATTCAGCTATGTGTGGAAAAGGTCCCATGACTGTTAGTTTATTGTTGCTTGGTTCAAAGATGAGAGTTGGGAATTTTCTCTGCAGCTTGTTGTGCTCGTGTAGATCCCCAGGGACAGATATGATGTGCAGGTCAGACGCAACTCTCTGGTAAAATGTGATGAACCTCTGCCTGACAAAGGCAGCTTGGCGGAACGAGTCGCTCTGTGGTCTGAAAGTAATCCGTGCAGTGATGTCAGACTGTGGTACAGGGACCAGTGAACAGTTTCCAAGAATTTTTCCAAGTTTTTCTTCACATTTTTTATTAATGTAGTCCATAACAACCCGAGACACTTCCACAGATTTGACACGAGTGGAAGCGTGATGACTGTGCTGACCTGTCCGTCCATGTGTAGCAGTACTGTGATGATCGGTCGCTCTTTGGCATCTTCTTACAAGTTTGTGCAGCTGTTCAAAGGTTCCTTTCACTCTGTAACAGGAACCCTTCTTCTCATAGGAGTAACAATCCTTCCTGCTTTCAACAATGTTCTTTAATGTTCCCTTATCTTTAAAAGGAGTTTCATCAATGCTGAGAATGATGTCTGTGAAAAACTGCAACGAGACAGGACAGCTTTAGTTATTTGATCATCAATGCCATTAAAATGCACTACATTATAATAAAGCTCAGAATATTGAGTCAAGAACTGTGTCCATACCAGAGCTGCCACGTTAGACAAACAAATAGAAACACAATAGAATAGAATAGCCTGTTATTGTCACAAAATTCTTGGTGCTCCACACCAGCTGTGCACGACATATAGGACAACAGGAATAACCATAACCACCCTTAACCCACACATGCACTGATAACACAGTCCCACCCCCCATTCTCCTCTATGAATGTGCAATACTAAATTCTATGTGCAATAACCTGAACTGTATATACAAACATTATTTATTTACATATTTACTTTTTTTTTTTTTACACCGGATTGTATATTTGTACATTTTATATATATTTTTAATACTGCTGCAGAACTGTGCACCCCGCCCCCGTGTTTGCACTGAGTAGGAGATGCTCTGTATCTCATTGTACAACTGTATAGTGACAATAAAGGCATTCTATTCTAATCTACTCTACTCTATTCTATTCTACATAACAAACAAGATGAATATTCCACTGCGTTAAGGTCAGGAAGATCTCTAAGTATTATCATTAATGAAGATGATGATGATTATGATTCATGTTATGAAGAATAGTGCCATCAAAAAGAACATCATGTTCAGTATTGTACCATTGTGATGGCCAATGTGATGATTTTGTGGATAATTAAAGTCAGTCATATATCCACAAACACAACAAGCTGAAAGTCAGTGATGCTGCTCGGTTTGCAGTCCTGAACATCACGGCACAAGCAGGATTCACTGCACTGTTAATGTTAGCTATGTTATATTGCTGCCTCTGCTCGGTGGTGTCGAGCCAAATGCACTTTAACGTGTGTTTGAACGAGCTGACGGTTCACTCGTTAAGCTGAAAGAAAGATGCTTTAATCACAGCAGTCACACATGTGTCCACTGCACCATCTGGAACTCTTCTTGTTTAGCATTCGTAATAACACAAACACTAAATCCTGCTTCTCTGGTGCTGTTGTGTAGCAGTGTGTACACC